CCTGCTCGCCGTGGCCCCGCCCCGTTCGCGTCAGCCCAGGGACTGCAGCGTGGCGCCCCTAGCGGCTACAAGAAGCCCGGCAAGGCGAAGTTCAGGCACCCATAGCCCCTTGGGCCTCAACCCCTCGGTTCTAGGCCCCTGATCCCATTCCCAGACCCCTTCTACCGAGCCCCGCCACGCCACCCGCAGTGGGTCCCAACCTACAACAGTAAGGACTTGGAGACGGCGCTGTTATTGTTAGTTCTGCTGGGGTGGGGGGAGTCAGTCCCTCCAGGACCAGTCCGGTGGTAGCACTGGACCAAGCGTAGGGAACGAGAGGATATGTTTACTAGGGTGGACGATCCCTCTGTCCAGTCCTCCTGTCTTTCCCCCACACTGCACCCCATAGCTCTCATTTTCTATCATGGGTCTGCAGATCCTGTTCTTCTGCCTCGATGCTCCTTTCCCCTCCCAGAGTCAAGCTCCTACCCCTATCAACTGCTAGCACTTTACACTGATTGCCTTTATAGGACATACCCAGACCTCTCCTTTTGGCAGTACTGGGAATCAAATCCAGGGTTTCACCCATACTAGACAAGTGCCCTACCACTGATTTTTGAAACAGGGCCTCCCTAAATTGTCCAGGATGGCCATCCTTCTGCTTCAGTCTCTTGATAGCTGGAATTACAGGCATGTGTCACCACACCCAGCCAGACTCTTATTCTAATAGCTTCCAAAAGTAAAAGGAGGGCTGGCAGAGGATGGGAGTGGGGTACCATGTGGCCTTAGAGGTATATTTGACCCACCCAACTTTCTAGTCAGCCCAAATCTCTAGGTCTTTGAAATCCTTGGGAATCAGTGCCTGGGAGACCCAGGAAGATGCCCTATGAGGGCACTGTTCCAGGGGCTGGTCACATAAGCTCCATTGGACGCCTGAGACCAGGAGCAGGAGCCTACTTTAAACATAGTAGGGTAGGCTCAGAGGGCCTGGGGAAGACGTGTTTAGAATTCAGATGTGGGAGAGCTGCTAGAACCTGACATCCAGTCCCAGGCTTCTCTGCACCAGATCTAGCTAAATTCAAGACCCCACTTGGCCTTTCTTCCCAACCACCCACCACACAAAGAACAGCAATAGTTCCCAGGGGCTTCGCTGGCTTGATTTTGTAAATATTAGGGTGTACAATCCCTGTCTGAGGATTGGTTATTCTCAGTGCAGCTTAGGTCTGTGTAGGAGTGTTGATAAGTGAGTGATATGGCCAGGGCCCACCCTCCCTAGAACAACCCTCTCACTGTGCCCTGCTTTACCACACGTCAGAGAGCTGCCCGAGGACCAGTGCCTAATGACTGCTGAAGCCCTGGCACTGGCTCCAGGATCGCTGACATCACAATGTCCAGTCAATCAGCTACTGCTGGTGGCACAAAAGGGATCAAAAGCTCAATCCATGGTTTGGTGTACCTGCTGCCCAACTTTAGCTTACGCTGTGTAAAATGCAGTTTTGGGTTACAGGTGCTGGGAGACTCAGCTGGCAGAATTGTGGAACCTGGGTAAGAAATGTGTATAGGGGGTCTTTTTTGGGTGACCTCAAGTTACCAATTTGGGGCACTGAAGACCGAGACATGGGTGACTCTCAGCTCTAAAGGATAGGGCAGTATCAAGAATATTGCTGGGCCAGAGAAGGGGTTACAGCATGGGATAAGGCTTCTGATGGTCAAGAGGGGAACTACATGTCCCTGGAAAGAAAAACAGTAGCATCGTATACAATAAACAAAAAAATCTGTATTAGAACATTTACACTCAGGGAAGAAAGAGGTATCTGCATCATTAAATTTGGAATGTTGAAGAAATAGTTAAAATAAATAGATTCTGAGCACAGATGAGGCTGGCTCAGGCTGGGGCTCACAGAGGCCACTGTGCATCAGCTCCAGGCTGCAGGGGCCACCACATGGCCATCCTGACCTCCTCCCCAATGCAGCACAGCTGTGCCTGGAACACAGTCTCTCAAATCCTGGAGCAGCCGGCAAGCTCACTCCCCGCTCTCTTCGCTGATCTCTGTGACAATGTCTATCAGGCTCTGGAGCCCAAAGATGTAGCCAGCATCCTGGCCCTCGTGCACCACACTGTCCTCACCATACAGCCTGCAGGTGGTATGGGCAAAGTCGATCATGCGCACATCCACGGAGCTGGCGCCAAGGGGCTTGTAGGCATAGGCCCCAGCAGACTCATCAGCCGACTCCTCTGATAGGTCCTCCAAGTCCTCAGCATCTGAGTCCAGGGCCACCTCGGGCCACTCTTTGCCATCATAGATAACCAGCAGGGAGCTTGAGTAGAAGCGATAAGACTCCTGTCGTTCCAGCACTGCCTTGAGCTCAGCTAGCTTCTTGAGCACAGGGCTCAGGAGCTCCCGGCGCAGGTACCGCCCATTGTGGAAAAACTGGAAGAGTGCCTCCTTGAAGCCCTGCACTGACAGCTTCCGCCCGTGGTACTTGTTCATGAACATGAGCTGCCCAGTGCCCGCCTGGTACACCTGAGGGAGAGACCAGCAGCTCAGGTGTATGGGCCACCTCAAGTCCTAGACCCTGTGGCCTATGGCAGTGTGACAGCCCAGATCCAATACTTAGCTTGGTGATTACACCAGCCACACATGAGCTGGTAGACGTAGTACCTGCACTGTATTTGGTTACAGATTCCCAGCCCACTACTCTGCATCTGTGGAGACAGCCTAACTTGCCTTCATCCCTCCTCTTATCTAGACTCAGCCCGCCAGGCCAGCCTCAGAGGGATCACCTAGACATGTCTGAGTTTTCTTTTTTTTCAACCAGAAAGAAACACACTCAGTTAATTGTGGAATCTTTAAAGCAAATAGAACTACAGCACAGTGGGCCAGTGGATGCCCCAGCCAGCCCTCCTCATGTACTAGGCATATTTCTCACCTGCATGCCACACACACGCACACCAATGACTGCAGATGTGCTCTGCTGACATTTTCGGATTTGGTTGGCTGCTTTCTCCTCTGAAGCATCATCACCATGCTGGCGTGTGCCCATCTTAAGGTCCAGGACACACGGCACTTCGTAGCGGGAAGTCAGGTTCTCTAATAAGATGAATTCTAAGTGGTTAAGGACAGTACCCTGAAGAGGAAGTGCTACTGCATAGGGCGTAGGTACTCCCACAGCAAAGGGCTTGCACACGGTGACCCAGACAAGCTTAAGCCCACAGGGAACTCAATTAGTTGTGCTGTCAAAGGGACTTAGCACAAGTGCAGCCAGCATCTAGATTCAACACAGGCCTGCGAACCCCAGCCTGTAAGGGACATTCGCCATTTCCTGAATTGCCCTAGGTATGTGACCACAGTGCCAAAGCATACTTGTCCTCAGTTACACACAGAACAAATAAGTTCAATACATCTTGTATCCTTAAATGTTAACTACAAATACCAGTACAAATTCATGAAAATATTCTCCATAAAATAAAATCTACTTCCCAAATGTGTGCACTGAGAAGGCCGGGACATGATGAATAGAGGCAGAGAATGCCTTTCATGCACAGCTGGCTCCCCAATTCCCATGAGCAGGAACCAATGCCTCCTGGAGGACAGATTGGTGAATATGGTTACTGTTCATGGTTGTACAGCCTACAAGCTACAAATGGCTTGTGCTTTTTTAAGAGAAAAATATACTTCGTGACCCATGAAAGTAAAATGATATTCAATTACAGTGATCAAAAATTTTTATCAGAACACAGCACACCTGTTCATATGTATTACTATGACAAAATTTAAGTATTGTGCCACAGACTGTACAGTCCTCAAAAACCTAAAATATAGTTTACTGAATCTTGCCTTAGAGAAGAATGTTCTGAGTTTACATCTGGGCCAGGAAATGTACAGAGCCATTTTCTGGACCATCTTTTTTCACATCAGAAAGCAAGACAAGCCAGGCATGGTGACACATGCCTGTAACCCCAGCACTTGGGAAGCTGAGGCAGGAGGATCAGAAATTTGAGACAGGATTTAGTGAAAGGATAAAAAGGCTGGGGCGTGTAGCTTGGGGTGAAGGAATGACCTGAACTGAGGTTTATTCCTGAGTTCTGCAAACTGAACAAAATAAAACAACAAACCTCACTAATCACCTCTGGAAGATGAAAGGGAACTTACTCATTACTCCAAATACCTACTAAGGAAAAATAACCATTTAACCAGCTGTTATGATTTAAATATGAAATGACCTCCAAAGACTCATCTGTTGAATGCAGCTATCTTCCCAGATGGAACCTAGAGGTAAACTGACTTCAGCAGGGGATTAATCTGAAGACGTTGTGGGAAGGTGAGGCACAGGTAGAGGAAGTAGGTCACTGAAGGTGTGCCTTCTAAGAGTATATCCTGTCTCCAGTCCCTTCCTCTTTCTCTGGCTCTTCTCTCATTCTTTACTTCCCAGCAGCCATGAAGTGAAAGGCTTTCCTTTGCCAAGCCCTTTCACCATGATGTCTCTACTTAAGAGACAGCTACCACAGAATGGAATCTCTCCTAAACTGCAGGAGTCCGGTATTTTGTCCCAGCAATGGAAAAGTGATTAATACATCTGCCTTTCCTATATAAAATGTACCTCAGGATAAGTACATAGTTGATAAGGAAAAGTCACTCTTTACAGAATGATTCCAATGGATAACAAAGCTATAAAACTGCCTAATAACAGGGAAGGACATGGCAAACACCTGTAGTACCAACCCTCTGGGAGGCTGAGTCAGGATTACACATTTGAGGCCAGCCCAGGCAACCTAACAAGACCCTGTCTTTGAAAATAAAATACAGGGGCTAGGGATTTAGCTCATGGTTCTGCTGCCTGTCTCGGGAGCACAAGGACCCAAGTTTGATCCCTGGTACCAAAATAATAAATAAAATTTTTTTTAAAAAAAGGGCTGGGTAGGGGTGTAGCTCAGTGGTGAAAGTGCTTACCTAACATCTATGAGGCCCTGGGTTCAATCTCCAGTACCACACACAAAAAAAGGAGGAGAAATGAAAATTACAGCTGGGTGTGGTGGTATACACTTGTAATCCCAGCACTCTGGGAGGCTGAGGCAAGAGGATTGCTAGGTTTGAGTCAAACCTGGGCAACTTAGGAAACTGGAGAGATCTTGTCTCAAAATAAAAATATTAAATTTTAAAAGGACTGGGAAAAAGCTGGGTGTGGTGGCACATGCTGTAATCCCAGCACTTGGGAGGCTGAGGCAGGAGGATCACTGTGAGTTCAAGACCAGCCTGGGCTACATGGTGAGTTCCAGGTCAATCTCAACTACATAGAGAGACCCTGTCTCAACCCCTGCCCCCAAAAAAGAACTGGGAACTTTGTTCAGTGTGAAGGTCCTGGGTTCAATCCTCAGTCATACACACACACACACACACACACACACACACACACACACACACACAGCACCTAATATATAAATGAATCCAAAGTAATGATGACCCAAGAGAAATAACTGAACACTGTGTTTTCCAATCAAGGGACATGTACAATACCATCTCCCAAGGATTCCTGCTCCTATCCTCCCCCAAGAACAGAACCTGAGTCTGACAAAGCCTTCAGATCCTATCATCAATTTACTGGAAACAGAGAAGACAAAGTAACATATAAAAGACACCACAGAGAAGCAATCAGTAAAATTCAGATCAAAGGAAACTCTAGAAGATAGTTCCTTTGATAAAATTTCAAGAAAAAGCTGGGCATGATGCTGCATGCCTGTTATCCCAGCACTCAGGAGGCTGAAGCAGAACTTGGCTGCTCCAAGCTCAAGGCCAGCCTGGGCTATTTAGTGAGGTCAAGGCTACCCCAAACTGCATATTGAGATCCTGGCTCAAAAAAAATTTTTGGAAAAAAATACAAAATGGGAAGTGGTATTTAAAGACTTGAAATATTTGAATCTAAAAATTACCTGTAAACCACCCTTCAACCCTCCCCACTTTGTCTGTCCAGATGGTGTTTTACTATATGACAAAGCCTAGTGCTCCCTGCCTGTGCCTTACAAGGTGTCACCCAGGGCTGTGTGGTGGGAGTGGGGGTGAGATATGGCTGAGCAGCTGCCTTTGGGTGGCACAGCAGTCCCTCCTTCCTAGAAGCCTGCCCTATCCAGCTTCCCTGTCACTCTAAGTGGAACATTTTGGGGTCTGAACCCACCTCCCTCACAATGTGCCTATAGCCAACCCTGCTGTCCCCACAGCAAGGGCATGAGCACCAAGAAAGTACAAAAAGGCAGCAAGGATCCAAGGAGGGATGCAAGCAAGTCCTGGAAAAGGAGATTTTTCATTTGGTTGGTTTTTTGTAGTTAAAACAGGGTTTTCCAACTGGGGATTTAGCTCAGTGGTTCTGCTGCCTGCCTAGCAAATGCAAGGTCCTAAGTTTGATCCCCAGTACCAAAACAACAAACAACAATAAAAAACAAAACAGGGTTTTCTTATATAGTTCAGGCTGGCCTTGAATTCACTATGTACCGCAGTCTGGCCTCGAACTCATAGTGATACTACTGCCTCAACCTCCCAAGTGCTGGGATTACAGGTGTGTGCCACCATGCCTGACACACTATGTAAACCTCATAAGGCTCCCCATTCAAACAAATGAAAAATAAAAAGCAATTGACACCTGCCTCACAAGCACAAAGACCCGAGTTTGATCCCTGGTACCAAAAAAAAAAAAAAAAAAAAAAACCCCAAGAAAACCAATTGAGACAAGATGTAGATATATGACGATATGAAGTAGATGGGGTTTTTCAAAGTTGTTTTATGGATTTTATCCCCCCATCCCTACTAGGTATTGCACTCAGGGTCTTTGCACTGAACTACATCCCTAGCCCCATTTTAATCTTTTGAAATAGGGTCCCACTATGTCACTAAATTGCCAAGGCTAGGCTCAGACTTGCAATCCTCCTGCTTCAGCTTCCCAGAGTGCTGGAATCATAGGAAAAGTGCCACCACACCTGACAAATTATGTATTTTATAGTAAAAAACTTACTGTCCTTTTATTTTTGGAAGACAGGGTCTCACTATATAATTCAGGCTGGCCTTGAACTCACTATATAGCCTAGGCTGACCTCAAACTCATGGCAATCCTTTTGCCTCAGCCTCCCAAGTGCTGGGATTATAGGCATGCACCACCACACCTGGCTTTTACTATACCTGTATTTGGCGTGCGTCATTTTTTTTGAGACAAGGTCTTGCTATATAGCCCAGGCTGGCCTTGAACTCACAGCAAACCTCTTGCCTCAGCCTCCCAAATCCTGGGATTATGAGTGTCTACTACCATGCTAGGCTTTCCCAATTTTTAAGAATTAAAAATGGTATAAATGTTTA